AATGCCATATCATTTACCTGAAAGAATTGCATCCGCGTTCGGATCATGACCTCACTTCACTCACCGCTATTATATTACATACCATTTATCATGCTATTATTTAATTAATATTTGGGCTTTATACTTTTGAAATTTATATTAAATTAATATAACTGAAATAATAAAAATTATCGTATAATTTCATACTAACTTAAAAAATTGAAATAGCAAGTTAAGAATTACAACAAGAAAATATTTGTAGTAGTTTTAAAAAGTATATTAAAACCGTAATGATAAATATTTTGATAGAAATTTTTGCAATACTTTCTTAACACCTAAAAGTATTAGTAAATAGCAAAATAATATCAAAACTATTTGCGGTATATTTTTCATTTTACCTCTTCAAAATAGCACAGAAATGAACAGAGTAAAAAGTATCAAAAAATTGAATCATTTCTATAGAAAAGAAATGTTAGCATTGCATCAAACCAACCAAATACTCACTATTGGAAACAGAAAATAATCTCAAAAAAAAGCGAACTGAACGGACTGAATTTGAATACAAATATAAAAGAAAACTGCTTTAATCAAATTGCAATAAGAATTTTTATCAATTTGTTAGCATTTCATTATTTATTGGGGTATAATTCTTTTTTTTTTTGATTTCATTACTTTTATGAATAAAGTTGTTTTTTCTATTTTTCATTTTTTTAACTTACTATTTTTAAAAAAATTTAATTTTTTTAGATTAAAAACTTTAAAAGACAAATATTAAGGTAAGATTTTTAATTTAAACAATAATACCATACTGGAGTCTTTTATAAAAGTTATTTTAAGGAAGATAAATGAGAGATAATATTTATAGATGAAGAAATACCTCATTTCACTTACACGTACAATACTATCATAAATGACGTATCGCAATAAATATGACAGTTGTCAAGTTATGCGTGTAAATGCGTACATGCTCGCACCTGTGCTGCATAACTAATTTCCTGAATGATTTATTATCTTAACTAATGGAAAAAAAAGGAAAGACCAAATAGATAAAAATATTTCTTATCACAATTGCTATCTCGCTTGAAATTATACGATGAATAATTTTTTTTAAATCCAATATAATATAATTTTTGCATTTCCTTAATACTTTTCCAATTTTTTTTTCTTTTTATTATTAGTTACCATTAAATTGTAAAATAACAATAGCAATTTCAGTTTTTTGAATTTTTTTGTCAGCCGGTCAAATTTAACACATCAATAGATAATTTTGTAAATTATTGTTGTTTTACATTTGATCAATATACGTACGAAAAATCTCGACAGAATTATCCGATGAAAATATTTGATAAGGATAATGAAAACATGCAAAACACAAAATACTATGTTTTTTTCTTCATATCTCCGTCTACAAAAGTTCAAGTAAAAAAAAAAATTTTATTCAATTTTACTGCTCTTTGCTTTAATCAAAATCTAAATATTTTTCATAAAATTTAATGTTT